AGTTCGCCCGTCAGAGCCGGGTCGACCAACTGGGCGCCGGCGGTAAACGGTCAACCTTTCTTACCGCCGGGGGACTCGTAGAGCTTCCTGACAACATATAAGGTCGAACAAAAATTACAGAGAAAATACTTTTTCAGCCCAAGCAATTTCAGACCTCTCGGATGCATCCCCAACGCCCCCGATGCTTCTGGATTGTCTTCTGTACGAGCTCTGTAGCTCTCCTACAGCCCGAGTTATGTGCGCAAATCGAGAGCACCTCTCAAGATGACTCGAACAATACGAATAGAATGGCAAACCTAGCTCGAGTATCAAACCGAGACCAGTCCTCTGCATGCGACAGGCGGATGCGTCTGCTGTCTCTGAATCGATTACCAGCCCTTCAGCCCCCCTTGCAGGAAACCGACAGCACCTCTCAGGATGACTCGAAGAATACGAATAATGTCGCGAACCTAGCTCGGGCAGCAGACAGAGTTCGATTCGACAGGCGGACGCGCCTGATGTCTCCGAATCGATTCCTGTGATCACCAGCCATGCAGCCCCCCTAGGGCCCGATTTAAGTGCAGAGAAGCGACAGCACATCTCAAGATGACTCGAACACTAGGAATAGTTTCGCGATTCTAGATCGGGCAGCAGACCGAGTTCAGAGCTCTGGAGTCGACAGACAAACGCAACTGATGATTCTAAATGAGATTATGTACGTACCAGCTCTGTAGCTGTCCTCTAGCTCGGAATAAGTACAGAAAACCGAGAGCATCTGTCAAGATGACTCGAATAATACGAATAGGTTTGCGGACCTAGCTCGGCTAGCAAACCGAGTTCAGACCTCTGGATTCGACAGGCGAACGCGCCTGATCATTATGAATCGATTACCTGTGCTTACCATCTGAAGCTGTCCTAAAGCTCGAGTTATCTTGAGAAAACCCTCACCGCGCATGAAGATAACTCGAAACAGCCGATCCCGCCCGTGTGCTTTTTGGCAGTGAAAGGTACCCGATCGAGCTGAGATCAATATGACGAGCAAGAATGAGATCGAATATCATGCGAAGAAATACTAGAGCTCTAACGAGTGTTCAAATTTTGAGAACCAAATTTTCAACCGAGCAAAAGTCACCAAAAGGACCGTCGAGATTTTCTTGTCAACTAACTATCTAGCGCCCGGAATTACTCTTAAGCTTCCAGTAATTACTTACTGGGCGCCGGCGGTAAACCGTCAACCTTTCTTACCGCCGGGGGACTCGTAGAGCTTCCTGACAATATCTACTGTGGGGAAAAATCCAAAGAACGATTTTTTTTTAAGCCCAAGCGATTTCAGACCTCTCAATAGAACGCTAACAAAAAACAAACAGTTTCGCAACCCAGTTCGAGTATCAAACCGAGTTCAGACCTCTGAATGCGACAGGCGGGCGCGTCTGATGTCTCCGAATCCACTCATGGGATTCCCTGCCCTGAAGCCCCCCTACAGCCCGAGTGAAGTGCAGAAAACCGACAGTACCGACTCGAATAATATAATAGATTTGCGAACCTGATTCGAGCAGCAGACCGAGTTCCGAGCTCTGGAATCGACCAACAGACGCGCCTGATGTGTGAAAATCGATATCTGTGACCTGCAGCACTGTAGCCCTCTCCCAGCACGAGTTGAGTGCAGACAATCGAGAGCACTTCTCAAGATGACTCGAACCTAGCTCGCGCAGCAGACCTAGTTCATAGCTATCGATTCAATAGACGAACGCGACTGATAATTCCCCATCGATGTCTGTCACAATGAGCCCTGTAGCTGTCGTACAGCTCGAGTTAAGTACAGAAAACCGAGAGCGTCTATCAGGATGACTCGAATAATACGAATAGGTTTGTGGACCTAGCTCGGCTAGCAGACCGAGTTCAGACCTCTCGATTCAACAGGCGACCGCGCGTGATGATTCTGAGTGCGATAGGTGTGCTTACCAGCACTATAGCTGCCCTGAAGCTCGAGTTAAGTACAGAAAACCGAGAGCGTCTATCAGGATGACTCGAATAATACGAACAGGTTTACGGATCTAGCTCGGCTAGCAGACCGAGTTCAGGCCTCTCGATTCAACAGACGAACGCGCGTAATGATTCTGAGTGCGATAGGTGCTTACCAGCCCTAAAGCTCGAGTAAAATACAGAAAACCGAGAGTGTCTATCAAGATGACTCGAATAGTACGAATAGGTTTGCGGACCTAGCTCGGCTGGCAGACCGAGTTCAGACGTCTGGATTCAACAGGCGAACGCGCGTGATAATTCAAAGCGCGATAGCTGTGCTTACCAGCTCTGTAGCTGCCCTACAGCTCGAGTTAAGTACAAAATACCGACAGCGCGTATCAAGATGACTCGAAACGGCTGTTCCCGCCGGGACGCTTTTTGGCCTTCAAAGTTAACCGATCGAGCTGAGATCAAGATGGCGAGCGGAAAATGAGATCGAATATCATGGGAAGAAATACTTGAGCTCTAACGAATGTTCAAATTTTGAGAACAGAATTTTCAACCGACCAAAAGTCAGCAAAAGGTCCGTCGAGACTGGCGCCGGCGGTGAAACGTCAACCTGGTCACCGCCGGGAACCTGGTAGAGCTCCTCTCACTAGTAAGAGTGCAGAGAATCGACACAGAATCAAAAAATGGAGATTTTGCGAACATCTTGAAATTCGATTTTTTCGATGTTCATATTCGCTCAGTTCCCGGAAGTCAACTCATGCAAAAATGCATCGAGAGAGCTGAGCTGCTGTCAGAGAGGAGTTAATATGCCAATGCTTGGCGTGAAAATATGCTTATTCAAAATAAATGGTCAAATATCTTTCAAATTTTCGCAAAACTGGCGCCGGCTGTGAACCGTCAACCTAGTCACCGCCGGGAACCTCGTAGAGCTCCGCACACGCGTAGGAGTGCTCAGTATCAAACGAGAGGGCTCCTGAAGGCATTTTCTCGGAAAAGAGAAAACATGTTTTTTCTCATGTCGACATGAAGTTGGTTCCGCCAAGTGTTTTGATAGTAAACGTCATGTAGAGAGCTCATATCAAGACGCTGAGACCCTCATAATCGTCTACAGGTGCAAAAAATCTGCTTTCTCAAAATGAATGGTCAAACATCTTTCAACGAATCGCAAAACCACCCAAAAGTTGCCACATTGTCCGTTCTGGTCGGGTGGGCCAACTAGCTCCACCCCGCGCCGGAATTCCTCTAGCTCACCGATGACGAAGAGCTCTACGAGGTACCACCCAAAAGTTGCCACATTGTCCGCCTCGGCCGGATGGGCCAACTAGCTCCACCCCGCGCCGGAATTCCTCTAGCTCATCGATGCCGAAGAGCTCTACGAGGTATTATTCTTGCCAACTAGCTCTCCAGCGCCCTGGAATTACTCTTAATCTTCCAGCAATAACTTGCTAAGGGAAGCTCTACGAGTTACTAAGGGAAGCTCTACGAGTTACTAGCTCCACCCCGCGCCCGAATTCTCTAGCTCATCGATACCGAAGCTCTACGAGGCGTTCACTTGTAAGCGTCCAAAACCCGGATAGCGAGGCAAGGCACGGAGCGCAGAGCCCTCCACAGCGCCGCACAGCGACCTCTGCGAGGTCGCCTGGAACGATGCGTGGGACACTGGAAGCCTCGCAGCAGACGCCTACGAGGGCGCCTTTTACGACAGGGCTCTGTGAAACATGACCTTCTAAGCGTTTAAAACCCAGATAGCGAAGCCAAGCGCGGAACGGACCTCTGCCAGGCCGCCTGACTGGGCGCCGGCGGTAAACCGTCAACCTTTCTTACCGCCGGGAGACTCGTAGAGCTTCCTGACAATATATACTGTGGAAAAAAACTCGAAAGAACGACTATTTTTTAAGCCCAAGCGATTTCAGACCTCTCAAGATGACGCTAACAAAAAACGAACAGTTTTGCAACCCAGTTCGAGTATCAAACCGAGTTGAGACCTCTGAATGCGACAGGCGGGCGCGTCTGATGTCTGCGAATCCACTCATGTGATTCCCAGCACTGAAGCCCCCCTACAGCCCGAGTTAAGTGCAGAAAACCGACAGTATCGATTCGAATAATATAATAGTTTTGCGAACCTAGTTCGAGCAGCAGACCGAGTTCCGAGCTCTGGAATCGACCGAAAGACGCGCCTGATGTGTGCAAATCGATATATGTGACCTGCAGCACTGTAGCCCTTCCCCAGCACGAGTTGAGTGCAGAAAATTGAGAGCATGTCACAAGATCATTCGGACAATACGAACAGTTTCGCGAACCTAGCTCGGGCAGCAGGCCGAGTTCAGAGCTCTCGGTACGATAGACGAACGCGACTGATAATTCCCCAGCGATGTCTGTCACAATGAGCCCTGTAGCTGCCCTACAGCTCGAGTTAAGTACAGAAAACCGAGAGCGTCTATCAAGATCACTCCAATAATACTGATAGGTTTGCGGACCTAGCTCGGCTAGCAGGCCGAGTTCAGACCTCTGGATTCAACAGACGAACGCGCGTGATGATTCTGAGTGCGATAGCTGTGCTTACAAGCACTGTAGCTGCCCCAAAGCTCGAGTTAAGTACAGAAAACCGAGAGTGTCTATCAAGATGACTCGAATAATACAAATAGGTTTGCGAACCTAGCTCGGCTGGCAGACCGAGTTCAGACCTCTGGATTCAACAGGCGAACGCGCCTGATGATTCTGAGTGCGATAGCTGTGCTCACCAGCTCTGTAGCTGCCCTACAGCTCGAGTTAAGTACAAAATACCGATAGCGCGTATCAAGATGACTCGAACCGGCCGTTCCCGCCCCTGCTTTTTGGCCTTCAAAGTTACCCGATCGAGCTGAGATCAAGATGGCGAGCGGGAATAAGATCGAATATCATGGGAAAAAATACTAGAGCTCTAACGAATGGTCAAATTTCGAGAACAAAATTTTCAACTGAGCAAAAGTCAGCAAAAGGTCCGTCGAGATTTTTCTTGCCAACTAGCTCTCCAGCGCGCCGGAACTGGGCGCCGGCGGTAAACCGTCAACCTGGTTTTTTTGAGTTTGAGTCAGGGCGCGGACAGCTGTGACAGCTGAGCCCTAAGACTCCCAAACGGAGCACAGGGTAGCTGGAGAGGGCAACTCTTATCATCACACTGCCGAGCCACTGAGGCATAGGCAACGGAATAGGATGCAGGAACAAGGAAAAGGATGCAATACAACATGTGAAAATGTAAAGGTGTTGGAGAGCTCCAAGCAAGATGAAATGAGTCAGCTGCTTGGATGAAAGATGCTACCCAAAATGTGCTCCACGGCCATACAGAGCCGTTGTGCTGCAATCATCTCACAAAACATGACAGAAGCAGAGGCATCAAGCGAGACAGCTTCCTCCGCCACCAACTGCCACGTCCCGTGTACACACAAATCTATACACCATCCTGCAGCACATCCCTCCACAGAGCGACCTCCGTCGAAGAATCCACGGAGGCCGTCTAGTTTTGTTTTACTCGCATGTTCAATAAGTGAGGTATGGAACGTAACGTAACTATTTTTGGTTCTGGCCAACCATGTCAGCCTGTCAGCTCTTTCGTTTCCTTCTCGATAGATCCACTTGAACATATTGTGGCCCCAACTCGGAGGCCTCATACCATACAACACAGAGATATGCTCCAGCCTATTTTGAATGTCGCCAAGAATGTGCTTGTAGATAATATTGGATGTTGCCCAGAGACCGTTAATCCAATTCACCCCTGTGGCGGAGTCCCCAATCAATTCCATCGGTATCGAGTCCCGAGGCTCCGCATTCCACTCCGATGCATGTTCATTAATGTACGCAAGTCGTTTCTCCATCTTCTCGTCCTCCTTCCTTTGCTGCTCCTCCGTCTTCTCCCTCTCCTCCTCCTCCCTAGCATATCCCGCAGGTTGTGCATGTTTAAAGTAACAGTACCCCCACGCCTCCTCCATGTTAGTAACATCCAGTGCCCGCTTCAGAAATTCTTTCCATCCCTGACGTGAAAAGGATAACGTGTGATACCAATCCTTCCCTGATACCAACTCGAAAATGTAATGGAAGTTTCTCAACGCCAGTGGTCTCCCCCCCTCATGCCGACGCGTCATTAATGGGCGTTCTTTCCAAGGCAGCGATGCAATGAAGGCCTGCCGTCGGTCAGTCCACTCCCCCGACCATGCAAAAATACATTCTCTAGCCTGCATATGCGAGTCCCCTGTACTACGATGCTGAGGTGGAGCCACCCGTCGCCGCTTGTTTGCAGCGATTTCCTGCGACGGCAACTCAACAGAGGAACGCTTTTGCGACAGAGAATCCTGAGATGGATGGAATGTCTTTGCACGCTTATGCATCTGGGAAATCAGATTGCGCCGATGCGCGGGTAATTGTGTCTGAGAACCAGGGAGCTCAAAGGAATCAACAGCATGCATCGTCTCACACACGTCAGGATGACATCCCATTGATGTCGAGCACGCAATACTTGGTAGCACATACATGGGTTCATCCTGACGTTGTCTCTTGGCCGGCGGTGGCTCACACGCAGCAAAGACGTTGGGGCCAGGCTTGCCTGAAGAATCAAAAGTACCTGGAGGAATCTGTGCGGGTGTTGGGTTCAGGCGTTTCACAGTAAACGTACAGTCCTGAGCCCACTGCCACTGACGAAACAAGAATAGCTGCACAAGAGACGGCCGTCCCAATTCCAGGAGCATACGCCGCCCACGTTTGTACAAGTTGCATAAGTATATACTCCAATCCATGTCGGCAGGTTTCGGGCGGCGTACCATAGAACACAATATTTTACCTTCCCACGTGTGCAACTGTTTCAAAGTGTGGTGGTCCGCTGGCATGCCTTCAACACCGAAAAGTACAAAACTACGCAACCTAGATTCATAATGCTTGATTTTCTTCTGGAAGGGTACAGCACGATTCGTATAAAACTTGCGGAACTGGTTAAATCGCTTCCAACCCCGAGCCAATTTCCAAGCCACATCATGGTGTTTGTCAGTCTTGGTCGTGACCAGGCAACCCAGGCACTCCATTTCAGAGCATCGCGGAAGACACAGGGTACCGAGATCGTTCACCTGGACAACGAGGTTCCCCGTCGAGGCGCCTTCAGAGTCCTCCCCAAAGGCAAGATAGTGTAGTGAGGAATCTTTCCATCTGAAACCGTGCGTATACAGCTGAGCCGAGAAGTCCCCCACCATACGTGTGAGCTCAGTCTTTGATTTCGAGAAAAGCAAAATGTTATCGGCCCAGAGCGCATGAGTAAGATACCTCCCACCAGCCTCCACCCCCAAATCGTACCCCAACTTCTCCTCCTCCCAATTCAGTACAATCCTATCCCACATCAGTAGTGTCACACACTTCCACAGGAAGGGGGCCTCCACACTACCAGTACGTACACATGCATCCCAGGGAATACCCGTCGCCGTGGAGTCCTGAAAGGTAAAGTCCGCTGTGTCCAGGATACTGGGAGCGAGTAGCGCCAACGCAAGGTCATTGGGGAACCCAGGGATGGCATCCAAGGCCCGACTGGCCTTCTCAACCGTGACGTTATCAAAGGCAGTCTGCACATCTAATGACGCGAGGTGCAGGGTCTCATCTTTCCCCCACTCCAGAGCGTGTGTGGTGGCATGCTTAAGCATGGCAGTGATCTCGTGCGTGCGCCTTCCCTTGCAAAATCCGTAGTTATGTAGATATTGTGGGACCCTTTTCAGATAACCTTCAGCAATCTCAACCAAACATGAAGTATACCATTTGCTTAGGCTGCTAAGTAAGACGAGAGCACGAGTATCAGACAACTTAGTGATATCTTTAGCTTTCGGCATCAACACCACAAGCAACTCAGACCAAATCCGAGGAGTAGGATACCGTTGAAGATACAGGTCTTGGAATAACCGAAGAATATGACGCAAACCTACCCACGTGATACGTTTCAACATAGAAGGAGAAACTCCGTCCTTACCCACCGCCTTACCACACTTTAAGCGTGATCGTGCCTGTAACAATACGGACATGGAAATGGGGGAGACGTCCACTGTGTTCGTGTCCTGCAACCTCCTCCTCCTCCTCTCCTCGATACACTCCACGTTACGTATCCCTTGCGCAGCACAGTGGTACTTGGCGAACCCGTGAGCATAGAGCGCCTTCTCCCACAACTCCCTATCCTCCGTGAGCACATCGTCATAACTCAATTTGTCCACCACCGTCCGAGCGAGCTTCCCGTCACGATGATCGTATTCGAGTCGACGACGAGTGTGTGCACGCATCTCCTTCCTTCTCTCTTTCTTAACCCTGATGAGCTCCTCCTCCTCCCCTCCTTCACGACGCAGTCGGCGATATTCATCATCAAGTTCCTTATGACGATCTGTCTTTTTGGGGATCTGCATTTTCTTTGGGACATTGGTGTATGACTCCTTGTCCTGTGTACATGCATTCAAGATAACAGGAGCCAATTCATCCGGGCAGAGACCAGATGGGTAACGAGCTGCAGCATGCAAACGACGATCAAGGTTAGCCGAAACTTGCAATTCCGAGGCTTCGTCGCAGCACCAATGAGTGAACGTTTGTCGTGGCTTCGTTCTCCAACGTCGAGTCGGAGCGGCCGATTCGGGGACAAGCAAGGTGAGCAGGGCATGGTCCGACAGGCGGGTCTTTCTGGGGTCCACGGAGCCCCTGAGTGTTGGCCTTAACCACGACACCTCCCACTGAGGCCTTTCCCAGGAGCTCGGAATACACAGGTAATCAAGAACCTTGTCCTCCTCCTCCGTCTCCTCCCTGGCCTTCCAGGTCGTACGACGGGTCCCAAAAGAATTCGAGAAAACCAAATCATAATGCCACATACATTCACAGAGCTCGTCACACATGTATTGTTGCATCCTCCTCCTACCCTGCTGGAAACCTCCACGTCCACCTCCTCCTGCATTGTCCCCTTCTTCAAATCTCTCACCCTGCACTGCAGAACCAGTCAAAGCAACATCTCCAAATACCGTGTGAGGCAGAAGCTCAACGTTAGCATCCATCCCGATGAACAAGTCCCACCCTTCCTTGGGAAACCTAACTCGGAGCGTATCCAAATCCTTTCGAAACGACTGCAATGTTTGTGTGAATAAGATATTGTGATCCCCTTTTTTCGGCGCATGTGGTAAGTACAAGCTGGCAACAATCAACGATTGAAACACGAGAATGACATAACGATTACCCCTGATGCATTCACGTATGGAGGCTCTCCACACCCTCTTGTAGAGAACCCCGGCCTTCCCATCATTAGAAAGAGTTAAGGTGAAACCATGCTCAGAGCACCTACCTATTCCAAGGAACTGGCACTCCTGCAAAGCGAGAACTTCCGAATTCGAGGTCTTGATCTGAGCAAGCATGTCGTGGCTGTTCATGCTGCCACAGCGCCTCACGTTATACGTGCCCACGATGGCGCCATGGCACCTTCACCAGGTACGAAAGTTGAGCTTGGCCAGAAAGACCTCGCAATCCAACTTGTCATCGACCTTACGCAGCAGCTCGGCGTCAACCTTCCACCCCAAGTTAGGATCAAACACGGCAATGCATACTCCATCCGTCTTCGGCGTCGTGGCCGAAGGGTAGCCCCACACATAGCTGACAGGAGGACCCATCTCACCCTTCAGCCACTGGGATCCACTCCTGAGAGTAGCAAAGATAGCTTGACAACGACCCACGGCAGAAACATGTGGCTGCTTCCAGGGTGCTGGTTCACAGGATACGCCGAGACGCTTGTTGGCCAGGATGGGAGTGACTTGCTTCAAGTCGTGCGTGTCATTCTCAAGCTCGACGGCCCAAGAGTTGCGTATCTCCCAAATTTCATCGTTCGTCAACTTGCCACTTATAACATAGAATCGTATACGATAAAGACCATATGGTTTATTTTTGTGCTCCCGCTCGATCCTACTCATGTCGAAATGCTCCTCAGTCATCTTTCCTGTGCCACGGACAAATTTACGAATGACAGGCAGGGCATGATCCCAGGAGAGCATATCCGATGAACGAGTCTTGAGATTGCCGACTCCACCTCGCGCCCAACCTGTGAGTTGGATGAAGGTCGGTGTAAAATCCTCCCGCACTCGATTCCATTCGCGAATTGGCGTACGATTACCATACCTGGGAGCAGTGGCCGTAGCAGAGGAGCCCGCAGGGCCCGCATAGTTACTCCAAGCATCCGTGGACCCTGATCCTGCATCACTGGGTGGACCCTTCTGCTGAAGCGAGCGGATCTGCTGCTGCATAGCAGCAATGTCAGCCTCATTCTTCTCACCACGCTGGTCGATCCGTTTCACATCCTGCTCAATCCGTGAAATTCTTTTCTTCTGAGTGTTCTGTTTAGCAAGCATAGCCTTCATCATAGCAAACTGTTGCTTCATAGGATTGCCGTCATCAAATTCGCCGAACTGCTCCTCCTCCTCACTGCTTGCCTGAATCATATCCTCATCCTCACCCACAGCCTTACTCTTCTTACAACAGGGCGCACCTGCTGGGTGTTGCTGAGACATCGCTGCGAAGGTGACGGTGTTCGAATACTTGAGCTCCTCTGGAAACCCCCACTGTTCCAAGAAATTGATGTCCTCACGCGAACGCTTAGAATCTGTCGTCGTGTCGAACAGATGTCCTCACAAGAGTGTTGAACAGATGTCAAACTCGACCTCCAAAGAGTGTGTACGGTACTCAGGCAAAAGACACTCTGCAGCACGCGTGCGGGAATCTGAGTCAAGCAAAGAATGAGTGTGTACGGTACTCGTAGGCTACCACAAAGAATGTGCACAGGCCTTCGACACTCAATGAAAGCGCACGGTACTCCGACAATCTGAACAGTCAATGCGCACTCCGACAATCAATGAACGTGTACGGTACTCAGGCAAAACAGACACTGAAGCACCGTGTACAGTATGAGGAACCAAAGACTCCTTTCTGCACAATGCAGCTCGAGACGAGGGGGACCCCAGCGGTGAGGCCAGGCTGAGCAGGAGGTAAGCTCTGCCCAACCAGGTTACCGCCGGGCACCTCGTAGAGCTCCTAGCCACGTGTCATAAGTCCATGCATATCTCTGGAATGCGCACGGTGAATTTATTTCCAATAATAGAATGAACACACACATGTATGAGTTTCAAGGCGTCCTCCAGCGCGCGAGAGCGATGCTTCCGTGGCAGCGCACCTGTATGTAGACATGTACAGATGGACAAGCATGCGAAAATAGGATCGACGTCAGCCGGCGCGGCAACGCACCGGGCACGAGCGCGCGCACGCACATACGCGCGCACGCGAATAAATACAATCTCACGCGCGCACGCACTCACAACCACGCGCGCTCACTCACGCACCGGCACCCCTCACGCACACACATGCACACACACGCACGCGCACACACACACACACACACACACACACGCACACACACACGCACACACACGCACTCAAACACACACACACACAAAAAAAAAAAACAAGCACACACACACACACACACGCGCGCGCGCGCGCGCATACAGACACTAACACAGACACAGACACAGACACACCCACACGCACACGCACACACACACATACACACAGACGCGGCCACACACACACACACGCACACACACACACACATGCCTGCCAGACACACACACACACACACACACACGCAAACATCTACAGATACAGACGGACCGACGCCTTCGCACTCACAAACCCATCCCCCCGCTGCTCAGCGCTCTCAATCCCCCGCGAAATCCTCGCGCCCCCGCGCACCCCGCCCCCCCCCTTCCCGCCGGCGCTCCGGAGGGGGGAGGCACCGCCCCATGTCGGGGCCGGCCCTCCCTCCACTCCAACCACTCCGCCCTCGCGGAGCGCCGGGGGGGAGGGAGGATGGGGAGGGGGGGGAGGGGGGGGGGGGGGGCGCGGGCGGCGCCAGCACCGCGCGCGCACACACGCACACAAACGCACACACACACGCTCACACACACACACACACAACAGACAAACGCAGACACAGCCACACACACACACACACGCGCGCCCACACACACCTGCCAGACACGCACACGCACACGCACACACACACACACACACACACACGCACACACACACACACACACACACCCGCAATCCACAGACACGGACACACTGACGACGTCGCACTTACACACCGATCCCCACACTGGTTAGCGCTCTCCGCCCCCGCGACCCCCCTGCCGCCCCTGCGCGCCCCGCCCCCCCGCTCTTCCCGCCGTCGCTCCGGAGGGGGGAGGCACCGCCCCATGTCGGGGCCGGCCCTCCCTCCACTCCGTCCACTCCGCCCTCGCGGAGCGCCGGAGGAAAGGGCGGAGGGGGAGGAGGGGAGGGGGGCGCAGGCGGCGCCAGCACCGTGCGCGCACGCACACACACACGCACACACGCACACCCACGCACACACACACGCACACACACGCACACACACACGCACACGCAACCGAACACACACACACACACGCACACACGCAAGCAAGCACATGCGCATACACGCACACGTAAACACGCACACACACACACATGCACATACACGCAAACATAAACACACCCGCACACACACACACACACACAGACGCGCACAAACACACATACACACACGCACACACACGCACACACACGCACACACATGCACAGAGACGCACACATACACACGCACACCCACGCACGCACGCACGCACACACACACACACACACACGCACGCACACACACACGCACACACACACACATACGCACACGCACCCGAACACACACACACACACACACACACGCAAGCACATGCGCATACACGCACACGTAAACAAGCACAGACGCACATGCACACACACGCAAACATAAACACACACGCACACACACAGACGCGCACAAGCACACACACACACACGCAGACACACACACGCACACACATGCACACACGCACACATACACACGCAGACACACACACACACACGCGCGCACACACACACACATACATCACACATGCACGCATACACACACGCACACACACATGCACATAAACGCATACAAAGACGAGCACACACACACACACACACGCCGCGCACACACACACACACACACACGCACACAAACGCACACACACACACACACTTACACACACACACACACACACACACGCACGCACGCACGCACACACACACACATACACACACGGACAAAGACAGACACAGGCACGCACACACACACACACGAGCACACACACCTCCCAGACGCACAACACACACAGACACACACAGACACACACAACACCCACGGACACGGACACACTGATGACGTCGCCCTTACAAACCGATCCCCACGCTGGTCAGCGCTCTCCACCCCCGCGACCCTCTGCCGCCTCCGCGCGCCCCCCCCCCCCCCGCCCTCCCTGCCGGCGCTCCGGAGGGGGGAGGCACCGCCCCATTTCGGGGCCGGCCCTCCCTCCACTCCAACCACTCCGCCCTCGCGGAGCGCCGGAGGAAAGGGCGGGGGGGGGAGGAGGGGGGGGGGCGCAGGCGGCGCCAGCGCCGTGAGCGCACACACACACACACACACACACACACACGCACACACACACGCCCACACACACACACACACACACGCACGCACACACACGCACACGCACTCTCACACACACACACACACACACACACTCAAACACGCACAGACACACGCACACACACACACACACACACACGCACGCACACACACGCACACGCACTCACACACACACACACACACACACACACACGCACACACACACAAACACGCACAGACACACGCACACACACACACAAACACACACACACACACACACATGCACATTACACGGGCAACGCCGCTGGATTCAGCGCATTCCTCCCCATCTCCGCGCTGACTACTGCCATGCACCACTCGATCGGCGCCGCAGCGCGGAGATCCAGCCCTTCCAACCAACGCACCCCCCTCTCCGCGCCCGCGCTCCAGAGGGGGGAGGGACCGCCGCACTACGGGGCCAGCCATGCCTCCGCTCCAGTCCGTCGCAACTCGCAGCACAGCCTTGCTTCATTCAGCGCCCCCCCCCCCCGCCCTCCCTCGCCCCCCCCCCAACCCCCACCCCACCCCCCATCCAATCCCATCCCCCCCCCCCCCTCCACACCCACCCCACGCAACCAACAACAACACACACCACACCACACACCCGCATCCAAAGCACGCACGCACACACACACAACACACACAACAACCAACACACAGCACTCCTCCCCTTCATTCCCTCTTCGAAACCCAAAATCCTTGCCCAGCCCTGTCCTATCGGCCCGAATGCCTGGCGGACCCCGCCGACCGATCCAGCTCATTCCCCTGCATGTCCACGGCCAACCCCCGGGTCCCCCCCGACACCCGCTGCGACGCGCGCGTCGCATCCGCCCGAGCGCGGCCGCGCTGGAAAGCAGCCAAGTCCTCGACCCTTTCTGAACCGAAACCTGTCACCACACGGTCGGCGCCGCCTCCGCGCGAAGATTCCGCCCGCTCCACGCGCTTCGGGCGCAGCAGCACCCCCGCTCGAACAAACGCGCCCTCGCCCGCCCCCGCCCCCTCACCCGCGACCGCGCCAGGCGCAGATTGCGCCGCCAGCCGGGCAGACCTGCGCGGAGCCACTGCCTCTGGCACAGTCTCCGGCTTTCTCCCTCCTGGCGCGGACGCCCTGGCCGCCCCCGGCAATCCTCTCCCCGCGCGGACTCCCGGCTCCTCCACAGCCACCTCTGCGTCGCCCGACGCAGCCGCGTGCCCCCCCGCTTTGCCGCGGCCTTTGCCGCCCGCACGCAGCTTCGCAGGGCCGCCCCCACCTCGCGCATCTCTCCCAGCGGCACCATCGTTCCCTCCGCCAACGTCCCCAGACGCTACCGCGCCATTGGCGCCGCCACCCAGCCTCGTCTCGGCGCGACCACCGACTCCGTCGCCAGCGGAGGCGCAGCCCGCGCCAGACGGCGACGCCGCCCTCTTCCTCCGCGCGCGCCTCGCTGCGGATTGCGGCGCAGCCCCGACGGGCGAGCCCGCGGCCCACCCCCCTCCACCCCCTCCTCCACCTCCTCGCACACCTCCCCCTCCTCGTCCCGCACCTCCCCCTCCTCCTCCCCCTCCCCCTCCTCCGCCGCGCACAGAGCCCAACCCCGCAGCGACCCCGCCGCTCGCGCCGGGGCCGCCCGCCGCGCCCACGGCACGCGCGGCGCCGAGCACCCCGCCCTTCGCCGTCGCCGCGCCACTCCCGGCGACCCCGCCGGCATCGACGCCGCGCATCTCCCCGGACGGCGAAGCCGGAGTCTTCCGCCGCACGCGCCTGGCCGTGGCCGGCGAGCTGAGGACACCATCGCCCCCTTCGCGCTCCGGCGTAAGCGGGGCACCCGCCCGGACCGGCACCGGCGCCCGCACGCTCGACCACGCCTCGCTCTCCGCCGCGACCTCTGCAGGCTGCCGCCCCGCAGCGCGGCAACGCGCGCCGAGACCCGAGGCGCTCGCGCCGCCGGCGCCACCGCCACCGACGCCTGTCACCTCACTCCCGCCAGCTCCCACACCCCCGATGCCTGCCCCGCCCCCCCCTCCACCGCTCTGCTCATCTGGCGCCCCGCCAACCCCTGGTGCCCCCGCGTCGGCGCTCTGCCCCTGACTGCGCCCCATGCGACAGTACACCGCCATGTACGCCTCCTACGGCTTCACGTGCGCCGGCTCGCCTCGCATCCTGCGCGGCGGCTTGTCGTCGTCAAACAAAACGTAGCCCCCGTCAGGGACGCGGCACAACGTCGTATAGTGACCGGTATGCACTGTTTGCCCATTGTGGTACACAACGCCAACCAGCTGCATCTGGGGAAGCCCATTCAGCCTCAGTTGCTCTTCGACCCACACGGGCTGCCGCGCCTCATGGCCCCTCCTCAATTGAACCACCAAAACGCGCGGCACGCCCGTGAGTCGCGTCTGCTGGTCGTGCCAAACCCGGTCGGCATCCGCGCGGCAACACGCTGGGCAGCTCTTCTCAACTTGTTCA